GGGGTGTTTAGTGACAGCTAGGCTCAGCCAATAGACGGTCAAACACGGTTATCTGTGACCAATCAGCGGCGAGCGTTAGCTCAGGTTTTTCTAAGCCTGGAATACCTGTTTGAATGCGAGAGACTTAAAGTGATTAAAAGCGAGCAAAGCAGACAGAAATGCTGAGTACATGTTACGACATATACAGCGGAGAGCTCTCGGTTTTCATATTAAGCAAGAACAAAATCGAAATTTATCCCGATACCTTAATTTGAATCTGTCATGGCAACACTGGCAGTGTATTCATTTAAAACCTGTCTGATTTGGCACTGCTACATAAACCCAATCACTTGTTAGGTTGTAGTTCAGACAGTGGTGACACCAGGAAGTGCATATTCACAGGGCTGAGTGAAATGGTGTCACTGCAATGAGGAAGTCCATCCTATGGGCATGTTCAGTTTACAATCTTCTAGGTGGATCTGGTTATCAGGAGCGGGATGGAACCCTTTAAGTCAAACGACTGTTGCCAAGGTCCAGGGGAGCATCCAGGAAGAAGACCTCCATCACCATTCTCCCATCCTTCCTCCCCAAGCGATCACTCACTGGGACTGTGTGGACATTATAATACAGAGGCCTGATCCGTGTCAGACAAGTAATGGCGTGGCGGCGCTCAGATTTGTATGATTGCATCATCCGTGGTCACCCACCTGACCAGCAGGAAGTAGAAGATACAGGAAGTATAGACGGGGGCACCTCTAAGAGTATCAGCAGATCCATCATTATAAACGCAGAAGTGTTTTATGGTCTGCTTGATACCGGGCCAGAGATAACGCACATGTGTTCACCGCGGCCGACGAGCTCGGCGATCAACTCCTCCGGGAGGAAGAGGGATGAAGGTGCATCAACCTGAAGCTATAAGTCCAAAGTTCCCCGACAAGAAGCGATAATAATTCTAATGAGTAAACGAGGAAATATATTTTTATACGAGTTGTACCTGAAGTTATATACAACACTCAGCTGTAACCTCATGACCCCGCCCCTAATATTGAGTAGGTCCCCATTTTCCTGACCCGCCTAGGCATTGACTTCACTAGACCTCTGAAGGTAAGCTGTGGTATCTGGATGACCCCCCTAATATTGAGTAGGTCCCCCTTCTCCTGACCCGGCCAGGCATTGACTCCACTAGACCTCTGAAGGTACGCTGTGGTATCTGGATGACCCCCCCCCCGAATATTGAGTAGGTCCTCCTTCTCCTGACCCGGCCAGGCATGGACCCCACTAGACCTCTGAAGGTACGCTGTGGTATCTGGATGACCCCCCTAATATTGAGTAGGTCCCCCTTCTCCTGACCCGGCCAGGCATTGACTCCACTAGACCTCTGAAGGTAAGCTGTGGTATCTGGATGACCCCCCTAATATTGAGTAGGTCCTCCTTCTCCTGACCCGGCCAGGCATGGACCCCACTAGACCTCTGAAGGTATGCTGTGGTATCTGGATGACCCCCCCTAATATTGAGTAGGTCCCCCTTCTCCTGACCCGGCCAGGCATGGACCCCACTAGACCTCTGAAGGTATGCTGTGGTATCTGGATGACCCCCCCCTAATATTGAGTAGGTCCCCCTTCTCCTGACCCGGCCAGGCATGGACCCCACTAGACCTCTGAAGGTACGCTGTGGTATCTGGATGACCCCCCTAATATTGAGTAGGTCCCCCTTCTCCTGACCCGGCCAGGCATTGACTCCACTAGACCTCTGAAGGTACGCTGTGGTATCTGGATGACCCCCCCACCGAATATTGAGTAGGTCCTCCTTCTCCTGACCCGGCCAGGCATGGACCCCACTAGACCTCTGAAGGTACGCTGTGGTATCTGGATGACCCCCCTAATATTGAGTAGGTCCCCCTTCTCCTGACCCGGCCAGGCATTGACTCCACTAGACCTCTGAAGGTAAGCTGTGGTATCTGGATGACCCCCCTAATATTGAGTAGGTCCCCTTTTCCTGACCCGGCCAGGCATGGACCCCACTAGACCTCTGAAGGTATGCTGTGGTATCTGGATGACCCCCCCCTAATATTGAGTAGGTCCCCCTTCTCCTGACCCGGCCAGGCATGGACCCCACTAGACCTCTGAAGGTATGCTGTGGTATCTGGCACCAAGCCGTCAGTAGCAGATCCTGTATGCCCTGTAAGTGGTGAGGTGATCGGCCTCCATGGATCGGACTTGTTCTTCCAGCACATCCCACAGATGATCGATTGGATTGAGATCTGGAGATTTGAGGACAAGTCATCACCTCAAACTCGTTGTTGTGTTCCTCAAACCATTCTTCAACCATTGCAGTGTGGCCGGGCTCATTATCCTGCTGAAAGAGGCCACTGCCATCAGGGAATACCGTTTCCATGAAGGGGGGGTACTTGGTCAGTTACAATGTTTAGGTCGGTGGTACCTGTCAGAGTTATATCCACATGAATGGCCGGACCCGATGTTTCCAAGCAGAACATTGCCTAAAGTATCACACTGCCTCTGCCGGCTTGTCCTATTCCCATAGTACATTCTGGTGCCATCTCTTCCCCAGGTAAGTGACACACACGCACCCGGCCATCCACATGATGATCCATCAGACCAGGCCACCTTCTTCCATTGCCCCGTGCTCCAGTTCTGATCCTCATGTGCCCATTGTAGGCGCTTCTGGCGGTGGACACGGGTCAGCGTGGACCCCCTGACCAGTCTGCAGCTACACAGCCCCATACACAACAACCTGGGATGCTCTGAGTGTTCAGACTCCTTTCTATCAGAATCAACATTCACTTTAGCAGCAATTTGATCTCCGTTATCTCTTCTATTGGATCGGACTACACGGGCCAGACTTCCCTCCCCCCACCCATCAACCAGACTTCCCTCCCCATGTACATCAATGAGCCCACCTATGACCCTGTCACCGATTCCCCGGTTTTCCTTCCTTGGACCACTTCTGGTTTCATGTTATGTGCTGAATATGAGTCTGACATGAAACAAGGCCAGAAAGGTGAACTCAGCCTTCAGCCCCACTTCATGTCCATGCTCAGGTTCAATGATGTGACAGTGTGACTGACAACAACGTTTATGCAACAGGAACCCAGTGCACTGTATACTATGTAAAGGTTTCCCTTACTCTGTGTTATAAAACATAGCATATAAAATGCCAGGATAGTACTAAAATCCCCCTCCCCCCCCCAAGATGATAATTTTTTGTTCCTGCAATTTTTTGGAAATGAGGAAACATGCCAGCATTGAGGGGGTTCAAACATGGAGCTTGGTAATGGTGCGCTCAATACATTAAACAGTTCACACACAGAGGGAGGTGGGGATGAAAGGGTTAATTTACATATCACATACAGTGGGAGGGTGGGGATGAAGGGGTTTATGTGCAGATGTGCAGGAAAAGGGAGCTGAAGGGGTTAATGTACAGGTTACATAGAGTGGGAGGATGGAGATGAAGAGGTTAATGTGCAGGATGAGGAAGGTGAAGGGGTTAATGTATAGATGTGGAGGATTAGAGAGGGGAAGGGGTTAATGTACAGGTCACATACAGCATTGAGGGTGGAGATGAAGGGATTAATCTACCAGGTACATAAAGTGGGAGGATGGGGATGAAGGGGTTAATGTACAGATGTACAGAATAAATGAGGTGAAGGGGTTAATGTATAGATGTGGAGGATTAGAGAGGGGAAGGGGTTAATGTACAGGTCACATACAGTGTTGAGGATGAAGATGAAGGGGTTAATCTACCGGGCACATACAGTGGGAGGGTGGGGATGAAGGGGTTAATGTACAGATGTGCAGAATAAGGGAGCTGAAGGGGTTGATGTACAGATGTGGAGGATGAGGGAGGTGAAGGGGTTAATGTACAGATGTGGAGGATGAGGGAGGTGAAGGGGTTAA